TAGGTATGGTTTTCGCCTGTAAATCAGCGACTGTCAGTTCGAATCTCGAAATGCAAAGATGATTTTTAGACTTACATATAATAACAATATAAATATGAAAGTCCAATTTGTCAGCAAACAAGATAATGCAGTCCCATGCAAAATATAAGATTATGAAGGGTTCTTCCTTTATATTTTTGTTTTAAATAAAACTATAAGGCTGAACAAGGGTTGAAAAAGACTGTTATTTAATGCCTTAAAAAGCTTATAATTTATTTTACTGTTAAGCCTTCAGCTGATTAAACTCACCAGATTTAAATGTTTAAAAGCTGAACAATGGTTTAAGTGGTATGTGAATAACAATTACTCAAGTTAAAGCTGAATTAAATTCGTCGAAACAACACTTGTTAAGCATCAAATTGCTACCTGTGTATATCCGAAGACATCACCAATGTGCTAACTTTGCTAAGTTAAGAGCAGAGTTTCCATTTCCCGGCTATTTCTGACTACCCGGGAATCGAAAATCAGCTAATGACATTTCCCAGGAATTCTCGGGAATCGGGATAAATTTTTATCCAGCGACTAATAATTCAGTTGAAAGTTTTTTTTTTTTTCATTAGGATTATAGCTATGTCCGACTTTGCACGAAAGTCTTTACCAAAATCTCCGCGAAGTTTCTTCAAACCTACCCTGAAAGATGTGTTGAAAGATATGTTTTTCTAGAAATTTATTCCAATGTTCTGTGGAAGTTTACTCAAACCTTCCCCGGAACTATCTTCCGACTTCCAACAGCAGTCCTACTGACTTCTTGGAAATGGAATTTGTTTCATATTTCTTATGGGAGCTCCTTCTGGCTTGCTACGGAAGACTTCTTGTTTTCCGACTTGCGCGGAATTTTTTTTTCAGAGTTCTCCCAGAAACTTCTTCCGATGTTTCCTGCAAGTGTCTTCTATCTTTCTCCGGAAATTTATGTCAACTTACATCGGAAATTTCTACCAGCTTCTCTGAAAGTTCCTTCCGACTTCTTTAAAAGTCTCTCTGGCTTCCTCTAGAAGTTTCTTCAAGTTCCACGAGTTGTTTTTTTTTTCGGAAATTGCTCACGACTTTTTTCGGAATTTTCCTCCAGAAGTTTCTACTGGCTCCACTGGAAAGGTCATGCTGGTTTTCCCAAGTAAATCAAATAGGTACATTCCCAGGTGGTGTGGTCTATTTTAAGTGAAAATTTATGTTTTTCCTCTGCCTAACACCACTGCGACCAGTAGTTTGATCTATTTTAGTATATCCCATGTCCTTAGTTTAATGCATGTCGTATTACTCCATCACTATTGAGAAATGATGAAGTATTCGATTTTTTTAACAGTTGTCATTCTTGCATTTATCGCAAGGATCCGACTCTAATTGAAAGGTCTCGCTATTTATACGCTTTGGAGTGATGGAACACCCTCCAAAGGCTTGTCCTTTTGTCAGGAATGACACCGATAATGACCATGCATCAGAACCCTACACACTACGAAAAAGACATGTACATTTCAGTGCCCTGAGACCGACACATGCAAGCGGCCCTTTTGACATAAGGATCACTTGAAAAGGACGAGAAAATCAATGCAATCAAACGCACTTTTCGTCGAGTTGCATATGTTTCAGTTTCAGGACACTTAATTTTACATGCCATGTTTGTTTGCGTTCCATGATTTACGTCAAAGCTGAATGACGTCTCGTGTAAAAATAATAATTTCTAAGTGTGTAGTCTTAACCACTTCAAACTAGGAAACAACGAATAGAAGATAAGGAATAACATAGATGAAAAATAACTAACTCATATTTTCCTTGTTTCAAAATCATCCTCGGTGGACAAAGTCACTATCAAAAAGGCATAAAAAGTAATAGGGACTGAGGGTTGATGCATATATTATGTCACGCTCTAAGGGGGGAGGGGGGTCTAATATTTTGTGACAAGCAATGCATTAGGTAGAGGAAAAACATTACGATAGGGGGGAGGGGGTAATTTTTCGCTCGATTTAGCGTGACATAATTAATGCATGAGCCCTAAGATGTGTTACTTTGATTACTGAAAAATCCTGTACCCCTAGTTTGAAGTAGTGAGGACTAGGAATCGGTAGTAGATCTTGCATCCCGTAACGTACCATGAAAAGGTGATCTACCCACGTTACGGGGCAAATGTGTGTTTAGTACAGCTTATTAAAAAAAAAAACAGATGTTTCCTGGGAAGTCGAACCCGTTTCCCGGGAATCTAGAAATGTGAAATTTTGATAAATTTCCCGGGAACTCTTCCCGGAATGTCCCTTCTAAAGGGAGGTCGATAATTATTGCGACATTTGCAAACTTGCGTAACTTTTTTCATACTTGACCGAAATTAAACAAATTTTGCCTAGATTTTCTTTCGAGTGTTATGTTTACATCCACTCAGATGTGCAGTTGTCAGTGAGATTACGGTTGAGATGGAAGAAAATCAGCAAACCGTTTGCGATAGGATTTTGTTCACCCACATGCAAAATCCCGGGGCATAGCGCCTTGGGAAACTGATGAATATACGTCTCAAGGGTCCTCCAAAGGTTCCAGGAACGGATGATAGTGGATCACAAACCAGGATCTAGACGGAAACCGATTGATTGCTCATATCAAGAGGAATCCGAACATTCCGACGCGGGACTTGGCCTAAAAACTTGATGTTTCGCAAAGTGTCGTCCAGAGGGTCAAAAAACGATCCGGATTGAAAACATACAAGGTTCAGAACTTCCCAAATCAGGACGAACGTCAGCAGAGTGTTGCGAAAACTCGCGAAATACCTGTGCTGCGTCGTAGATGATAAAACCTACATCAATGCGGATTCTAAGCAGTTGCCGGGACAGGATTATTTCACGAAACTCACTGGGCCATGAAGAAACACGAACATCAGAAGACCAAAGGAGAGGCGAAGGACGAAAAAGAAATGATGAATGGGAAAAAACTGAGAAAAACGTACCGGAAACGACTGTACTGGCTTTGATGGAGGGCATCAATCGCAGGGTTGGTAGCAGGTCACTTTTTAGTGACATGGTCACTATTTTCAAATCAGTCACTAAAATGTCAATTTTTTCATCAAAAAGTCACTTAAGTCATCAATGTTGAGAGAAAAGAGTTTGATTTTAGAAACTCAGAGTAAAGTCTTATATGAAGACTGTTGACGGAATCTAATATTTTGATTTTTTTTTATCATAAATTTTCATAGATTTCGAAAAAAGTACTACACTCAATATTCAGGCTATTTTACATTAAGATCTTGAAAGTTGTCCAAGCCTACACGGCAAAAAAAGTTTACGTAAAATGCACATGCCTTTTCGAGCGTAGATATTTTCCATCACACTTTTCAGGTGAATAATACGTGTTTTGGGGGAGAGATTACATTTGAGTGATTCACATTGGCATCTTCAAATTGGCATCACTTAAAAGTTACGGAAACTAGTAAGTTATGTTACTGGATTTTATAGTAATGATAAAGTGAATTGGTAATTGACTATATATATATATATATTTCGAATTATTTGAGTCATTAAATGATTGCATTCTAGGAAAATACACTAATTTACAAACGCTATATATTAGAAATACTCAGAGGGAGAGATAGGCGGAGAAAACAAAATACAATTCGGCAGCAGGGATTTGTTCCTAAATTATATTGCAACCCTTGCTAGAAGCTAACATTTCACATGACTTGTATTTTTGATTCGATTTAGGTGCAAAATAATAATTAATTGCATCGCAATATTTTGCACATTTCTTGGTGCCATTCGTTAACCGGCGAAGATCAATTAATCAATAGAGTTAGAATATTGTTTTTGATTCCAAAAACTAGTTGAATTTGAGAAGCACACAAAACATAAAGGTGATTGAATTTCTGTTCGATTGCAATACTCTCAAATTTATTCTAGTAAGAATAAGAAAAAAATCCAATTGGAATGTTCGATTGGCTCAGATTATGACAGTTCATGATGATGATGATGATGATGGTCATTCAGTTGAGTGTAACCTATACATAAACGGAGCTCTGGTCGACATTCCGGCGAAAAACCTAAGCCAACCAGACACCAACCTGACTTCTACCAAACCCCAACCCGATGTTGACTCGACATTGACCCGACATTGACCCGACATAAACCCAAAATTGAACCGACGGCAACACGACATTGGGTCGACATCGACCTTAAATTAGCCTTACATTTATCCGACATCGGGTCAACTTCTCCGTTCGGGACCATTTGTCTGGGTTTTTTTTCCATACTCCACTGTCGTATATCAAATGATAGTGAGTGACTCAATGGACAGCGACAATGAGCTTCGAATGAGAAAGGGGCTCTTCAAATTATGGTCATGTGAGAATTCGTTTACACAGAATTGATTGAATGGTTGTATTGGTTCATCTTCAATCGTATGATATGAAAATTTACAGCACTGATCCTGAGTCGTTTTGGCGTTTAAAGCTTATCTTGCTATTACTATTTTTAAGTCAATTGTAGTACTATTAACACCATGTTGGCGATTCTACGCCGTTTAAGAGTATTAGATCCATTACGATGTTAGGTCATTTTCAGAATGTTTTGACGTTTCATGCTATTTGTGCGCTGTGAGCTGTTTTAGCGATAATTTTTACGATTTTAAGAAATTGTAGGCATTTGACAGCTCCTTTGTCAATTTTCAGATCGTTATGAATTTTTTAAATCATTGTTGTGTTGTCTTGTTATTTCTAAGCCCAATCGTGTGGTGTTTTGAGAATATCTCGTGGGATTTGGGAGTCATATTTTGGACGGCCTATTTCACAGAAGAGCATTTGGAAAAATGGGTGCTTCGCAATCAACAGAGCCGCTGAAAAAGACCGACATACTGTGGCTTCATCACATAAGATTTGCCTGTCGCCTTTAAAAGAAACATCGGGCAGAACGTTTCACAAATGACAACTAAAACAAAACCCATCAATTCAAATATATACTTCAAATCTAATTTCTCATCTTTCTTTTTTTTTCCAGGGGAAGCCGACAAAGTGAAAACCCTGATCCGACTACGGGCAGAACTGTCACCACTTTTCACCGGCAAACGAAATGCATCGAAATACGCGTGGGCGTAAGTATCTTCCATCTTTGTTAAATCTTCTTGTGCTCAGACAGACCGAAAAAAAAAACTACCCACATTCCCCTTCCCGCTCCACACACCTCATCAGAAGAAACCAATCCGCAGAGACTAAACCAAAAACCACGTGACCTACATTTTCCCGACAGCGAACCGCCGTCGAATACAAAAAAGCAAAAAGTAAAACAACAAAAAAAAAACTAGGTTCTTCCTCGATCAGAATGCTTCCTCACTTTGTTGGTTCGGTGTTCAGCACCGGCCGAGCCGGAAAGTGGAACAATTTCCGATCCCGGCTTGTTCCCACATTCCATATTCGCGCCTATTATTCCACATCGAAACGTGGCTCTCTGTGTTTCCTCTTTTTATGTGTGTAGTCGATTCATGTTTTTCCTCCGCCCCTCTCCTGCCTCTCTCCGGCGGACTTCGGTTAACGGATGGAGATAAAGCGAATCATTAGACCCATGGGTCTTAACTTTTGGAGGGTTTCCTATAGTTCTTTCGATTATTTATTGTATTGTTTTTCGAGTAGATTTTGAGGCTGGAATTTTCTGAGCAAAAGATGCGCAATGCAATCGAAATGAGGCAGGCCTGGAGGGGGGAAATATAAATCCGTTAAACCATTAATGTAATTGAGGAAATTTTGCGGGCTCACGTTAAAATCGAACAAAAAGGGCGTGGACGCATCGACAGTGAGCTTCACGGGAAGGGAGCTTAGGGAAGGGAGAGGAATCTCGATGTGTGTACGATTTGGAAGTAGATCACCGGAGAAGAAGCTCATTTTCCACGTGGTCGGAAGAAGAGGAAGTGCATCTAAAGTGGAAAAATGGTAGACGCTGGTCAAGTTGCAATATGAGAACGTGTGCTAATTATTGAGAATTTAAGGAGCAATTCTCATTTCTGCTTGATGCCAAAAACAGAAAAAAATCATATAAACATTATCTACGAAATGCGAATATATTCTACGTATTTTAATGTTTAAATTAAAATAAAATCATGTTCTCTGACATTTAATAAAATGAAAATATTTGCTATCGTGTGAAATTTCAAGAAATTTTTTTAGAAGAAAAGCTAACCAGGGAACAAACACTTTTTGCGAAGTCTAGAAAATAAGATAGAACTAAATAATGACCTGCAAAGCTGTTGGTTTCTATAAGAGCTGAAATATGGTGTTCATTAATTTTGGGATGGATCACTCACTGTCCCCAGAACAGTACAGAACCTGTTCGGGGGAAGTGGCCAATCAACAAAACCAGATGTGTGGTTTATAAACATTTTCAGTTTTTCATGGGTAATTCAATAGAGACCAAATTTTCGCGATTCGGAAGGTTCTGCAGAAATGCCGCGAATACAACGTGCCCACACATCATTTGTTCATCGATTTCAAATCCACATACGATACAATCGATCCAGATCAGCTATGGTAGATTATGCACGAGTACGGATTTCTGGATAAACTGACGCGATTGGTCAAGGCGACGATGGATCGAGTGATGTGCGTTGTTCGAGTATCGAGGACACTCTCGAGTCCCTTTGAATCTCGAAGGGGGTTACGGCAGGGTGATGGACTTTCGTGTCTGCTGTTCAACATCGCGTTAGAAGGTGTGATCAGAAGAGCAGGGATAGCACGAGTGGCACGATCTTCAGGAAGTCCATCCAGCTTCTCGGCTTCGCCGATAACATTCACATCATGGCACGGAACTTTGAGACGATGATGGAAACGTACATCAGACTGAAGGCTGAAGCTAGGCGGGTTGGACTTGCCATAAACGCATCAAATACAATATACATGGAAGGAAGAGGTTCTAGGGAAGACAATGTTAGCCTCCCACCCCGAGTTCAGATTGACTATGATGAAATCGAGGTGGTCGATGAGTTCGTGTATTTGGGCTCACTGGTGACCGCCGAGAATGATACCAGCAGAGAAATTCAAAGACGCATTATGGCAGGGAATCGTGCCTACTTTGGACTCCGGAGGACGCTCCGGTCGAATAAAATTCGCCGCCGCACGAAGTTGACTGTCTACAAGACGCTGATTAGACCGGTGGTCCTCTACGGCCACCAGCTGCTGGGAGAACCATCCATCGTCCACATTGCAAGAATTGGGCGACTACGGTGGGCTGGGCACGTCGTAAGAATGTCGCACGGTGACCCAGTGAAAATGGTTCTAGAAAGCGACCCAACAGGAACAAGAAGAAGAGGCGCGCAGTGGGCAAGGTGGATCGACTAAGTAGAAGGTGACCTGCGCAGACTACGAGGCTGGCGGAGTGTGGCCATGGATCGAGTAGAGTGGAGACGAATTCTTCGGACAGCAGAGGACAACAAGGCCTTAGCTTGATTTGTAAGGTAATTCAATAGAGACCATGTCAATTAAGCAGAGTGATAATGGCCACCCAATTCTCTGAATAAATTTCCAGAAACCCCGAAGGAACTGACCGATTTCTGATTTCAACAAATGCTAAAGGGTGATACAGTCAAAATTTGGTCAAGGGAAAACGCGTGTAAATCGGTGAAATCGTTTATTTAAAAAATCAAATTAAATTTCTTTTTCAAGTTCAATTAGTCAAAATTCAGGAAAAATATTCAGTTAGGCTTCCGCTTTTCCAAATCCGAATTGCCGGGCCTTACGCTTGACCCCTGCCATCAGATTTTGTACAGCCACCTTGTCCACCTTCTTCGCCGCAGAAAGCCAGTTTGCCTTGAACTGCTGCTCGCCCTTAGCAGTTTTTTTGGTCTTCTTTAGGTTCCGCTTGACAATAGCCCAGTATTTCTCAATTGGGCGGAGCTCTGGCGTGTTGGGAGGGTTCTTGTCTTTGGGAACCACCTGCACGTTGTTGGCGGCGTACCACTCCATGGCCTTTTTACCGTAATGGCAAGATGCCAAATCCGGCCAAAACAGTACGGAACAACCGTGTTTCTTCAGGAAAGGCAGCAGACGTTTATTCAAACACTCTTTCACGTAAATTTCTTGGTTGACAGTCCCGGAAGCTATGAAAATGCTGCTTTTCAAGCCACAGGTACAGATGGCTTGCCAAACCAGATATTTCTTTTGCCGTATAAAACTCCTGTCCCGGAAGCTGCTTGTAGTCGGCTTTGACGTAGGTTTCGTCGTCCATTACCACGCAGTCAAACTTCGTCAGCATCGTCGTGTACAGCCTCCGGGATCGCGCTTTGGCCGTCGTATTTTGTTTATCATCGCGATTTGGAGTCACTACCTTCTTGTAAGTCGATAGTCCGGCTCGTTTTTTGGCTCGATGCACGGTTGTAGACGATACACCCAGCTTATTTGCGGCATCTCGGAGAGAGAGGTTAGGGTTTCGCTTGAAACTACCGGCAACTCTCTTTGTCGTCTCAGCGGCTTCCGGTTTTCGATTTCCCCCCGATCCAGACTTCCTGGCTGTTGACAAACGTTCCCCAAACACTTTAATTACATTTGTAACGGTTGATTTGGCAACTTTTAGCGATTTTGCCAACTTTGCGTGCGAGTAGCTGGGATTTTCGCGATGCGCGAGCAAAATTTTGATACGCTGCTCTTCTTGCTTGGACGGCATTTTGACAACTGAAGAGTGAATTCCAAAATCAAAATAGGAGCAACATTCTACACACACACACCTTCAAAATGAGGGGTGTTCAGGTTTTTTAAATGCAAAATTGAAAGATATACGTCAAGTTGATATTGACCAAATTTTGACCGTATCACCCTTTAGTCATGTGGCATTCCATAATGTTTATGGACATGTCATTAGCGGCCATCTCAATTGAGCAGAGTTGCAATGGCCATCCAATATTCTCGGAACAGGTTTGGGTAGCCCCGCAGGAGATGGTCAATCTCGTATTGCGACAGAACACTGCGCCATACCTAAAGTTTCATAATTTTATGGACAATGGCCATTCGATGTGCTCAGAATAGATTCTGGAAGCCCCAGTCCGAGGGAATTGGCCAGTCTCTGATTTGAACAGAAACAGGAGCTATTGACACTCTGAGAAATCAGAGGGGTAGCCATTGTCACTCTGTTCAAATGACATGGTCCTTAATTAGTTGTTTCAGAATTTAATTTCTGAAATATTTCGCACGTTGTTTTCGTTGAAATCAGAGATTGGTCACTTCTCCCGGGGATTGCGGAATCTGTTTCGAGGATATCAGGTGGCTGTTGCCTATCTTCTCAATTGGCGTGGTCCCACTAAAATTTCCGAAAAATATGATATGGCTCATGTATGGTTTTGTTAAAATCATAGATTGGTCACTTGCTGTGGGGCTTCCAGAATCTATTCCGAGGACATTGGGAGGCCATTGTCACGCTGCTTAATTGGCGTGGTCTCTAATGACATGACCAAAAAAAATCTAGAAAAGTGCTATATGCCACATGAGTAATTTTAGTCAAATACAGAGATTGGTCACTTTCTCCGGGGCTTTCTGAACCTTCTCCGGAGTCGAGGCGTGGCCTTTGTAACTCTGCTCAGTTGGCACTAGTCTTTAATATGCCGCAATTCTGGTTTTATTGAAATCAGAGATTGGCTTTTCTCGCGTGGCTTACGGAGCCTGTTTTAGAGACACGGGTTGGCCATTGTCACTCTGCCAATTCACATAATTAACTGTCCAAAAATTTCAGAAAATTCGATATGGCAACGTGCGGTTTGTTGAAATCAAAGATGGACCTCTTCCTCTTTGCTCTCTCTGCTGAAGTGACATGGTTTCTTGTAATATTAGCATTAAATTCTGAAAATTTATGAAATGCCGCATGACTTTACTCGTGATTATTTATTTGTTTATGACTAAACATCAACAGGCGTTTTTGGCCCCAATGATATAACCTAAGCAAGTAAAAAGTACTAAAACTAAACATCAATAAGCACATAGATAGTCAACTCGTAAAAAAAAATTCACATTAATAGACAATCTAAACTACAAGGGACAGCCCTATGGGGTTGTACGAAATGGTGACGCAGGACTACATGGTCTTATATAATAAATGTTATTTGCTAGCTGTAGCAGGAGC